AGATTTGTCTCACTATTTGGTCAGCTGTCTTATTTGTCCCCATATCTATTTTTATACACACAAGTATATGTATGTGCAAACCCTGAGGATGAATTAAGACAAAGGTGACCTGGGAAGTAAAGCTCAGATTCAACTCCAGTTTTCTGCCACAGGCAACTTCTGAGACCCTTGGGAAAACCACTCAAACTTAGAAGCTTCCTAATTTCCCATTAATTTCATTTCATCTGAGACGCTGTCTCTTTGCAGCATGTTCACTTTATCTTCAGGTACCTGCCTAAACTAGGAGCCCAGGCTCCCCCTGCAGCCAGCCACAGAAAGAAGCTGCCCAGTGCAATGATCCAGGGAGCAGGCTCCATACATCCAACCCACACTGGAAGACCCTCTGTCCTCTGCTGAGTGTGTAAGGACTGCAGGAAAGCCAATTTTAAGGCAGCAAAGTCTTCACCTGCAGTGTGTGTGCATCTATGTCAGCCTCCTGTGCTCTCTAGTTGCAGCCCATGAAAGAGCAGTGACAACACTTCACCATGGGACACAGCTCTTGGGAGAATAAGCACAGGAAAGGGCAGGAGACATCAAGGGACTGTGGTGATGTGGTCATACAGGAGACAGAGTCACCTAAAGAGATCAGACTGACCCCTGGCAGGTCTGTGGTGGGGAGCTGCGAAGCTCAGGCAGCAGTGAATGGCTTTGGATGTGCTGTGTGTGGGAAGAACCAGCCCACCCAACAGCTCTACCTCTGTGGAGGTACAGGGAGGCCCCTGCTACCTCCACAACTTCCATTTCACCTTGAGGAGTTGCAGGGATGTGTTTTAAATGCATTATATTTACCCCCATACACTACATCCACAGACACATACAGCGTGAACTATTTCAAGTCCCCGCAGAGAGCTGTTAGCACAGACAGAACATGGGTCTGCATAATATTTGAGCCACATGCACCATCTGCTCCAACATTTTAATGTAATTTACCAGGCAAGAGCTGAGCAGGAAAAAAAACAACCTCCTAGATGAAAGATATTAAATTTCCCCTTCCCCAAAACACCCCCTGCTGCTTGATATATGAACCGAGCACACCCATAACTAATATTTGATTTAAGAACATATTCATAAATTAAAACAAAAGTCCTGTGTCTGCAAGGGAACACTGATATAATTTTTCTGTTAACTGCTAATCTGCTGCCCATGGCAAAGTGTCCAAACTGATAATCCCTTTGCAAAAAAAAAACAAACCAAAAACACAAAATACACCCCAAAACAAAACAGAAAGGAGTGGACAGGTTAAGAACCTCAAATTGTTGCTTCCTCTCAGCAATTTCAATTTTTCAAATTTTACTCAATAAATAAGGAAAGGAAAGATTTATTTACTGTGGCATTGAAGGCAAACAATTTCTACATGTTAAGACTTGTACTTGGCTGAAGGTGGCAGCCCTGGGCTGAGCACTATTTACATTTTGGAAATAAGTCCTGCAACTGATGTGTAAAAAGGTTCCCAGGAGGGAAACACCTCAAGAACTGGGTTTCACCAAGGAGCACAATCATGACAAGTAAGCTTCCACCCTTTGAAATGAGAGCAATGACGTGCAGAAGTTCTGACAAACTCCTCTTGTCATTTCCAGCACTGTTGATGAAGATGTTCAGACAAGATTAGCAGTTTTTTCTTCATTAGAAGGACAGACAAAATTAAGCAGAAATACAGCAACAGGGGAACTACCTTTGCCAGAAATTCAGGATGCTACACTCAACTAGAAGACTACGACTGCCCAGTAACTTTCAAAGCTGTAGTTTTATGCAGGATGTTGACAAAAAGCTCCCTCCATAGCCCTACTGAAAGCTCAGTCCTTGCTCAACCCCTTGCTAATGCCACGACAATCTCTTACTACTCACACTGGAAAGCTGACATAGCCTCTTCCAAACCTTTACAGCACTCCCTACTACATTCAAGCTGACCAAAAAAACCCTTTAAAAAGTTTCTTAGAAGACTGTTGATATTTCCAGTCCTATCTTCCACATCAGAAAGCAATCTACATACAGTAGGAAAGCCTCACCAACTCCTCTTCTCTTACTGGTAGCTGCCTTCATGATTCATAATCCTAGCAGTAGGAAAGCCTCACCAACTCCTCTTACTGGTAGCTGCTTTCATGATTCATAATCCTAAGATTTCTTCTCTTTTATAGTTTTGCCCATTTGTTTGTGGGTTTTGCAGGTTTTTGGTTTTTTTTTTTGGGTGGGGGGGGATGTGTTTGCTTGGCTTCTGTTTTTAAATAGGTTTGTCTCTTGGTTTGGGGGTAAACTTCAGTCAAATTTTCTTGCTTCCATCCCTAACATATTCTGCAACACTGAGCACTGAGAACATTGCCATTGATTTCAATCAGCAAAGGATCACACCCTAACTGCTTCCAATTTCACAGGCACTAAGCAGCACTATGTGACCACAGCCTCTGAGTAAGCAACGTCCTGCATTCAAAGGTTTGAATCCTGTAACTCCACACAGACCTGGGAACTTGAGCACCCATCAGTGAACACCAGCTCTGCAAATCTGGTGCAACAAACTCCTGAAGCACAGAAATAAACACCTTACGTGCTATTAATTGATATTAGTTCTACTGAACCCCAAAATTCCCCTGTATCCTCAGACCTAAAACTGAGAGTAATTGATATTTTTCCCCAGTGTTAAACAGAATAAAAGTAACTTCACATCAAAATTCATACATCACATTCTTATTAAAGTTACATATTCAGATACAGTTTGAGATAAAAAAGCAGAGCACACAAAAAAGGAAAGTTAAACAGTACAGTAAGTTATATTTTATACTTTTTATTCAACATGGATGGTAACAGTGATCTTCTGTGTTCACACAATACCAAATAACTGCTCTAGTTCAGCAGCATCAGCCTTAGGGGATCAGGTATCAGCATTCCTTACAACTCTGTGCATCTCACTAGCAGTGCATATTTTGTCAATGATCACACAGAAATACTGTCACAGGGTGTATGTGTGATGTGTGGTTTTTTTTTTTTAATACTATCACTGTTAGAAAATGGTAAATAACACCATATTCTCCACTTTGTTTGCATTCAGGAAAGTCTCCTACTACTATCAACTTTTAAATGGTAATAGCTGAACGGGCTTGAATGGGAATGGTACTTAAAGCTTTTATCAACTTTTATTTGCTCACCCACACAGTAAGAAAACAGGAACCTTGCTTGCTCTTAAGATGGAAAATGTGAATGATTCAGAAGACTGGCTCATCCCCACTGTCCAGTGAACAACTAAGAATGAGGCTGGTTGTCCCTCTCTGGGCAAATCCTGACCTGAGTCAACTTTTTAAGAACATGAAATTTCAAGAGTGAGAAAGAGCTCCGCAGAAGTCCACAGATGATAAAGTTGCAACAAGGAGCTGGTTTGTTCTGTTTCCCCTCCTATCTGGGTTCTTTATCACCCCTGTGCTGTGCAGATTTATGGTGGAAACTAGAAATCTAGTTTAAGTATGTAGGAATAAAAAAGTTTAAAAAAAAAAAAAAGGTCACAGAGACTCTTCACAGACCTCAAAAAGAAAAGAGCAGAGTAAGAAAGGTGAGGAAGAGCACTGTCAATACATTTGAGCATATTTGACACTTTTTCCCCTATAAACAATGCATTTCTATTTACACTTAAATGTCTGTATCATGTTCTGTTTAAGTGGTTGAAATGAAAGAAAGGCTCCTATCCAAAACAAAACCTGACCACTGCAGAAACCACTGGTGTTTCATGTACATTCATTCACACACACAGTGTAACTGTTTTGAGGCCACAGCTTAGCTCTTCTCACACATATTAAAGGAACCTAAACGTAAGAACTGCACAACATGAGTTTTTCAAGAAGAAAAACTAGCTGTTAATGTGTTACATCAGATGGGAACTCACACACGAGTCCTTCACTTCTGAGTCTGAGCAGAACCTGCATTGTATTTAAAACACCAGGAACACAATAACCCAAGAAAGAACATGGACATAAGCCATTAACCCTTTGGGGACAAGCTCTGGAAGAGGATTCCTCTTTTAAAAGGGAAATTATCACTTCAAAACACTCAAACTTCAAAGAAAACAAGCTGTGTCAAGTAACTGGGGCCAAACTTGAGCCATTTGTAGTTATCATACTTGGACATCAACAGAAAATTTAGAGCACATTAAAGTACAATAGCTGAGGAAACCAGCTGGAAAAGGTGAACTGAGTATTAACATGGTTATCTGGAAGCATATTTGTGAGAATGAAATGGATCCTATTCCAAAAGGCTCCCATACCCAGTAAATGGTACTGGCAGACACAGAATGACAGAGGTCTGAGCACATGCAGCCTGCCCTGGGCTTACAAAGAATTGCTGAGTCTCAGGCAGCAAAGGAACAAGCATGTAAAATTCTCAATATGAAAATATTTACAACCACCCACTAATTCTTCCTCCCCTTCCTTGGTATGTACATGTCAGTTTCAGAAAGGAAAACCAAAGTGACACTGCTCTGTTTTAATTCCAATTAAAATGTGATGTCACTCAAAGTCGTTTACAACCTCCTCAATAGCCACCCTCAGAATAAAAGAAACAGAACAGAACTAAAAAGCAACCTACCATTTACCCAGCAAGCAAACAGCAATATGAAAGACACCACATTCCTCTTCCTATGCTTCAGAGATAGAGGAGTGCTCTGATATTCCACATCTCAGGGGATGCTATTTGCTTACGACACTTTTAAATCATAAACATGAATGCAGCTGACACCTTTTGGAAGGGAGAAACACACACTCTAATTCATCAGCTTCTCTGGTAAAGCTGACAACTGCTTGCCTCCTTCCAGCACAAAATAAAAGGCAAGCTTTCCCTGGGAAGACCCCCAGGTAGCTCTGAGGGCTGCACTCCACCTCGGGACCAGCCTGGTGGCTGCATGACCACGACATCTGTGAGCCCCAGGGAGATGTGCTGAAGTGTTTGCTGATTGAGATGTCAATGAAGGGAAGGAGTTTCCCTACCTGAGTTAACTAGCTGTTGCTCCATGACCCCGCAGCCCAGGACCTCCATCCATTCTCCTTGGAAGTTGATCTCCATCTCAAAGGAAGGGTGAGTAAATGGGAAGTAGCAGTCCACCCATCTCACTTCCAGTCCTGTAGCAGTGTTGAAGGAATAAATATGAAGAATGTATACTTAAAGGCCATCCCTCCAACCATCTGTAAAAGTTGCCCTTCAACTAATGACACCAATTACAGCAATGCAGAGAAAATAAATAGCAAACAAACTAATTTACAACGCTTGTGTGAGGTGATAAATCTTCAAACTTGGGGGGAAAAAAAATGACCATGTCTTCTCTAATATGAAAAACGTTTTGTGCAACTCAAGCACCCTTTGAAACCAAATCAATCATTTGTCAAACTGTAGCAACCACCTGGCATGGAACAAAAATGAGCCAAGATCATGGGAAAGTCAGTAACTTTGTTATTCTTTGTGCTAGGAATGAGGAACTGCTCCTCACAGGGAAAGCTGTGTCTCATTTTTGCTTAGTGCTTTAGAGATCAGCTAGGCAAGTGCTTTTTTTCCAGCAGAACTTATTTAAAAGACAAGGTTATTATTCCTGCACATGTTTAAATATGAATGTTGAAACAGATATTAATACATACAAATATAATAATGTCCTACTCTGTGTATATGTATTTAAGGAGACAAGGTTATTATTCCTGCACATGTTTAAATATGAATGTTGAAACAGATATTAATACATACAAAAATAATGTCCTACTCTGTGTATATATATTTAAGGTATGCTGTGTGCCAACAGATGCCAAGTACTCTGATGAGTAGATGTTTGATGTCTTTCTAGCTGCTGTGTGGACTGTGGAAGAACTAGTAACAGCCAACATACCAAAGCATGGACTGCAGCATCTGTCAACAGCTGGAGAAGGATGTCACTGCAGTTTCAGTTATCACCAATAACTCCTAGAAATTGCTCACTTCAAACAACATCCTCAGCATCCGAGTTTAATTAAAAAAAAGTCATTCTATTACTTGCTTTGATCCTAAGTTTGTATTTTTCATAAGGCTGTTGTTAAGTAAAATACAACCACAAATGAACTCAGGAACTTAATTTTTTGTCCAGGTGGGTTAGGACAAAACATGGTAAAAGTTTTGCTTGCTGTAAAGTCAGCTTGAGAGTTTCAGACAAAAACTCAAGCAGTCATACAGGGCTTGCTACTGTTATCAATCCACTCTTGGCCCTACTTTAAATTCAGTGGGCATCTTAAAAGAGCTCTGAAAGTAGCCAGCACACCCTGTGCATTCTAACACTATCCAGTATTTCCTCAACAGGAAAATGAATCAGTTCAGAAGAACAGCCTCCTTGCCAGTGAAGAGCATTAACGTAGCAATTTTAACTCAGGCCATTTATAAATTCAACCCCTGAAACCAAAGCAGGTATTTCTGAGTAGAGGATATTTCATTTCTATACATGGGCACTCGTTACCCTTCCTCATTCCACTCTAAGTACCAAACAACAATCATTTTTTTCAGATTGCTACAAACTTGGCAAACCCCATCTTCCCTCAGCTGCAAGCTGGAATGGATTTGCAGGAGAAACTCACAGCACTGTGTTCATGCAGCAAAGCAGCACACACATTTGTACCCTGAGGTGCCTGAGTGTGTCCCAAGAAGGGCAATGAACCTGCTAAAGGGTCTAGAGCACAAGCCTGGTGAGGAGCAGCTGAGGGACTTTTCCAGGTTGTTCAGCCTGGGAAAAAAAAAGGAAGCTCAGGGGAGAGCTTCTGGCTCTCAGCTCCCTGACAAGAGGCTGGAACCAGGTGGGGGTCAGGCTCTTCTCCCAAGGAAGAATTCAGAAGAACAGCCTCCTTGCCAGTGAAGAGCATTAACGTAGCAATTTTAACTCAGGCCATTTATAAATTCAACCCCTGAAACCAAAGCAGGTATTTCTGAGTAGAGGATATTTCATTTCTATACATGGGCACTCGTTACCCTTCCTCATTCCACTCTAAGTACCAAACAACAATCATTTTTTCAGATTGCTACAAACTTGGCAAACACCATCTTCCCTCAGCTGCAAACTGGAATGGATTTGCAGGAGAAACTCACAGCACTGTGTTCATGCAGCAAAGCAGCACACACATTTGTACCCTGAGGTGCCTGAGTGTGTCCCAAGAAGGGCAATGAACTGGTGAAGGGTCTAGAGCACAAGCCTGGTGAGGAGCAGCTGAGGGACTTTTCCAGGTTGCTCAGCCTGGGTAAAAAAGAAGGCTCAGGAGAGACCTTCTGGCTCTCAGCTCCCTGACAGGAGGCTGGAATCAGGTGGGGGTCAGGCTCTTCTCCCAGGGAAGAAGCAATAGGATAAAATTAAACAGCCTCAAGTTGCACCAGGGGAGATTTAGGTTCCAAAAAGTGTTGCCCAGGGCTGTGCCAGGCTGCCCAGGGCAGTGGAGTCCCCATCCCTAGAGGGGTTTCCAAGCCATGGAGATGTGGTGCTGAGGGACATGGGTCAGTGGGGACCTGGCAGAGCTGGGATGACAGTTAGACATGATCTTAAAGGCCTTCTCCAACCAAAATCATTGCCCCATCAAGCTCCACACTGCTGGTGCAAGGTACAATGACTGCTCTGCGCAGACACCAGCAGCCCCCAGCTCTGATGCAGCCCCAGGGGCAATGCTGCAGCCACACCCTGTCCCTCTAGGGACACAGGATGGCCACAAGTAAAGAGCTGAGGAGGTTGCACAGAGCTTTGTCCTGGAGCTGGAGCCACCTCTCCTCACGGGACCCTCTCTAAAAGATGGCTTCTGCCAGAGGAGTGCCTGTAGCTGGGTCTGGCACATCCCTGCCTGTATTCCTGCCCACTGTGTTACCCTGACACACTGCATACCACACCTCTACACAAAAACCCAGTGATCCAACACAGGCTTGGGTGCAGCAGTCATTAGGAAGATTCAGGGGAAAGTGTGTAGCCTGTTGGTCTGTGCTCCATAATTTCATAGTGTGTGGAAATATTGAAGAACAATAAGGTATAAAAATACAGATTACAGCAGAAAGGCCAATCAATAACCAGTTACTCTGACATCAAAAGACACTGGGATGGAACTTTGACCCAATGTAAGACAAAAATATAGAGAAGATGTTGAATGATGACTCCTAAACTGACTGTACCTCTCCAGCTGCCACCACCACCCCAAACCTCCTATTTTAACTACGCAAAACATTTCTCATAAAACTGGATGCCTACAGCCATCAACAGTCCAGGAAAAAAAGAAGCAAGAACCTACCCTCACCAAAGAGGTGAGTGATGAGCTTGGTGAGCACCTGCTTCAAGTTGAACTCCAGCAGCCTGACAGCCTCCATGGTGTGGCACTCCTGCTTGTGCGCGGTGCGGCGCCCTCGCTCGAACAGCCGCAGGCCTTCGCCCTCAGCCACGTGGGAGAACAGCTACAACAAAACCACAGAGCCACCCGTGTGTTGGAGAACCACCTCCTACATGAGACAGGACCATGGTTGATTGAGTCAAGTGAGAAGCTTACCTGCTCAGCCTGCACCGTGAGCATCAAAACGTGAAGAGGGATTTGATACGAGTTCTGTGCGCTGAGCAAGGGTAAATCAGGAGAGGAGGAATGCTCCAACAGTGAGATTTTTATTCCTTTCTCTAGCATATCCAATACTATTAGCTACATAATTTAAAAATTTAAAACGCTAATTTATACTTTATTTATAAATTTAAAATTTAAAATACTAATTTATAAAGGAAACATCATCTTCTCCTGATCCTGTTAGTTGGAAAGTTATCAGGCAGAACAGAGCTCGCTGTTCAAGGAAATGATATCCCCAAAACTACAACACACAATGGCATTTATCACACCTTCTACCTCTTTCAGGAAAGGAATCATGCAAAAGAAATACCAAGAAACCCAACACTTTAAAATCTGTCAGCAAATGAACTGAAATAAAATCACTTCAGACCTTTTTTAACCTCCCATCCCTTCATTATCCATATTTTCAGGACCCACTCCAAGATGAAGTGTCTCTTCAGCAGGTTTCAGCTCAGGAAGATCTGCAATTCCATCCTGTCCTCCTACAGCTCCTCCAGCCAGTCACACACACACCAGCAATTAAGATAACGAACACATAATGCTTATCTACAAACCAGCACTCAAGACTAGCTCCACATGAGGCTCTGCAGGTAGCAACACCCAACCCGGCCACACCAAAACCATTTTGACTCACTGGCCCAGATAAATATCCCCATAAACAAACAGCTGCACTTTAAATCCATGTAAAGAGCACATCATATCCACAGGATTTTTAATTGTGCTCTAACACCTCACCAGTGGGTCAGGAGGGATGAATAGCACATCACTTGCAAATGGCTCATCAAAAAGAAAACCTCTTGCACAGGGGATTTTGGAGAAGTCACACCCAATGAAGGAGTGAAAATCTAGGATGGGATGCATAGATTTAAAAAAAATAGATTAAAAGGGTAAGCAAAGATTTAAGTCATTCAGGTGTTCACATCTGCCTCAGAGCATGAGGAAGAGACTTGATGATCTTAAAGGTCTCTTCCAACCTAAGGGATTCTATGATTCTAATAAAGCAATGTGTCTGCTGGTTTGGGTTTTTTTTAAGCATTACACAGGGAATACATCAAGGCACACAAGTATGACCAGATGAGGAAAGGAGTATGTATTCAGAGCAGTAAGAAAAGCTACATTACTAGTACCTAGGACAATTCTTCACATTTTAGGATATAAACACTATAAAGTTAGAACTGCTCCAGAGCAGTATGCATAATTTAAAAACAACCCTAAATTTCCTTTCTTTTAGCAGTAAGAAAAGCTACATTACTAGTACCTAGGACAATTCTTCACATTTTAGGATATAAACACTACAGAGTTAGGAAATTTAGGGTTTTTTTGAAATGATGCATACTGCTCTGGAGCAGTTCTTTCTTTTAACTAGAATATTTGAAGTTTTCCATTGTATCCTACCAAAAAAAAGTTGCCAGTTCCACCAAAACCTTTGAAGTATAGGATGAAGATGTACCCTCACCACATCTTCCCAGTCTCCCTACTCACAGTTGCCCACTGTCAGCACACAGGAGCCTGCTGAGAGCATTTCTTCATCTGACCAACCTGGTGTTGGCTTCCATGGGAATAAGGTTACCAAATTAAAGGAGCAGCTCCTATATTCCCACATCTGTTCCCCTTAAAATTTATGTATAATTCAGTAGAGACTATAAAATACCTTATAAAGTCTCCTTCCAATGTGTAAACATTTGTTGTCAACTGGAAAACGTTCTGTGATGGCCATTGGGTTTATATTGGCTCCCTCTTCTGGCTAATGTGCACAAGGTGTAATTTAGTTGAGGTTTTGGGTTTTTTTCCTTCTCTCTTCTCCACAAATTGTGGTAAGATCTGCACCAAAGACCACAGCATAGCAGAGAAATAATTTCTTTCATTATCCACCCAGGGAATTTTGCCAGTTCAAACCTGACTATAGCAATATCAATATTGCCAAGACAAAGGATTAAAAAAAGCTGTAAAACATAGATAAAAAGATCTGAGCACCACAGAAGGAAAAATAACTATGCACCCTTTAGAAGGGAAACAGGCAAGCTGGACAAAGAATACAAAAGAAATACCCTTTGGAAGTACTGTTTAAGAATAATTCATTTTACATCCAGAATTGTGAAGCACTGGTTTTAACCATTCCTATTGGCTGTTTTTAACTCTTCCATATATTACACTCAAGTAATAATGGTCTTAAAATCTGTTTAGATATGTTTTTAATATATTTGAAAATATTGCAGGTGTTCTTTGATAGCAGTCCAAGGCCATTTTTTTAAAGTTTACAGGAAATTTCAGCACAAATCATTCTCTTAGCAACGAGTGGGTTTGGCAGAAGAGAATTTCTTCAAGCACTTCAGTACCCTCACTCAAAGCTACAGAAGAGCACCAGTTCCCTCTCCATCTTCAAGTTACAGATGACTTGCTAAAGAAGCAAACATCCCACAAGTATCTCAGAGTGAAACACTGTAGGATTATCAAACTGATTTGTTTTTCCAGTTCTTACTTCTAATTTATTGATTTTAACTTTGATATGAAGAATTAAACTACAGGTTTCAGTCACAGGGCAGCAGTTTTAACTTTGGTTTGACTACTAGAACTTAGTCTTTGTAGAAGTGAGACACTTTTCTACATCATCTACATCCTTCTTATCCTGCCTGCAATTTCAGCTGAGGATTTTAGCTGTTTTCTCCCCTCCCAAACTAAGCCATGTCAAATCCCTTTAAATTCAAGCTCCTACAAAATCACTCCAGATTTTGTTTTCATCCCTCCTCAGTTTTGTGGTCACTTCCACTGAGAAGACAAACAATGAAAGTGTAAATCAAAAGAACAAAGTAGAGCAGTAAAATGACTAGAGCATATAAAATTATGGTATTGGCCATATGATGAAATGCACCCAGGGCTCCTAACAGTCTGTAACAATGAGGTAACAGTTTTTTTCCCTTAGTTCCCAAGATTCTTCTCCTCTGTACTGTGCAAATTTCCTCACAACAGAGCTTGCAGTCTGCTTATGAATGAAAAGTCTGAGATGAAGGTAGCAAGCCCTGACATGCACACATTTCTGCTCAGTGGGTTGCAACTTAAACCTGAGTATAAATAAATGAATAAAAAAAATTATAAAAATAATTGTCTCATGTAGTGTTGCCTCCATTTAGTTTTTGTTCCACTCAGTTCCTTCTGGAATTATTTATATTTGGGTTATTTTGAACAGGCAACCAGAACATAAAAGACAGAAACAGTCCCCAGTGAAATTTCAGAATTACACATTCAATTTTTTTCCATGGGGCTCTTGTGAAGATGACTGTAGGAAGTTTTACACACTGCAAGACTATCAGTATATAATCTGCAACTGAAGCAAAAAAGGGTCCTCTAGATCAGGCTCAGGTTGAGAATTTATGCACACTGCCCAATAAAGAAGACTTTACACATCACACACCCTACCACTATCTGTTCTTCCTCAGTATAGAAAGTCAGCTGGACTTTTGTACTTCAGAGACACAAACATTTTCCAGCACATAGCCACCTGTAAATTCATCAATTATTAATATTCTCCACTAACATTTCAATTATTTTCTTGGGGGAAAAAAATAAAAGGTAAAAGAAACAAGCTGTCTACAGCACAATGGATCAGAGTGTTGCACATCAGGTAGTTCCAGGTAGAAGATGTCAATGAACACTCCTGTAACTTTCTTCCTAGTTATTAAAAATCTATTATTAAATTTGTAGAGCAAAAAGAAAGTCTGTTGTTAGGACCAAAATTTCTTGAGGGGTGTACACATGAACAATTACTTCAACAACTAGATCAACCATGCCTGAGTTTGCAGAAATTCCATCCTGCAAGGGTGTCAACACTGTAATTTTGTGGCAGATAAAATCTTCCCATCTGAATGCCTGAACGGTGCTAGCAAAGAAACTGGTCATGAACACAGAACATTAAAAAGTGGCATTCTCTTGATGTAGTATTGTAAATTTTCTCTTGCTTGTTCCCTGGTTCTATTGATAAACAGGTTAATAGGAAAGAGAACAGTAAACACGCAACACTGTAATTTTGTGGCAGATAAAATCTTCCCATCTGAATGCCTGAACGGTGCTAGCAAAGAAACTGGTCATGAACACAGAACATTAAAAAGTGGCAAATTTTCTCTTGCATGTTCCCTGGTTCTATTGATAAACAGGTTAATAGGAAAGAGAACAGTAAACACACAAGACTGGAAAAATCTGCAAGATTTGCATTTCCTGGTTACCACAAAGTGGTTGCAAGCTGTGTTGGACACCACACAGCTCACAGGACATCTGCAGAGGAAAGTAAGCTTTCCAAGGGGAGTCATAGAATGGTTCAGGTGGGAAGGGACATTTAAATGTCACCCAGTCCAACCCCCTGCAGGGAGCAGGGACATCTGCAGCTAGAGCAGGGGGCTCAGAGCTTGGTCCAACCTCCCCTGGGATGGTGCCAGGGATGGGGCAGCGACCACCTCTCTGGGCAGCCTGGGACAGGGGCTTACCACCCTCAGTGGAAAAAACTTCCACCTCATCTAAATCTACCCTCTTTTAGTATAAAAGCATCACCCCCATGTCCTGTTGCAACAGTGGCCACATGAGGAGGGAAACACCAGTGCAGGCAGCACCAATTGCACCAGTGAGAAAAGCAGTGCTCTGGTATTAACCCTGATTTCCCTCAGGCATCCAAAACCCTCAGGGTTCCCTGCCAAGCTCCTGTCACCCACTGGCAACCACATGAAAAACAGCCTACAGCTCAGTGTCATTAGAATTAACTAGTTTTGGTTACAAATGTGAATTTGGCACTACTGCAATAAGCACACACAAACTACACAAATCAATTACTATTTGGAAAATAAACTGGCTTATATTTACCCCTCATCAATGGTACAGCAGAACACTTTGTGATACCCAAGCCTTTGCAGAACACAGAAGCTGGGGCAACAAATCATATGAACTCAAGAGTCTCAGACATGTACAGAGAGCTCTTTGGTTGATGCCTCTGGACTCTCAGGAGTTCACTGTCACATCACACACCCATAACTATCAGCTGCAACAGAAAAATCCTTCAACACAGCTTGGAACAACTGCTTGGAAGAATGGAACAACTCATTAAAAAGGACACTGATTTACAGGAGGTTGGAGCTATTAAAAGAAAAGATGACAAAATAACAAGCATACTCTGGATGTAGCTGCAACAAACTCACATCCACGAGTCCTTTTATTAAGATGACCAAGTTTTTGGTCAAACGACCTCGCTGGAAGAGACTTGTGATTGAACTAGAACCAAATCATGCAGACATTACCTGAAGAAGCTGTCTCCTTTCAGGTTGTATTTTATTTTGCTAGCCTTCAAGAATATTGTCTTTCCATTTTTCCAAGGAAATTTATACTTGTCTTCAGATTCAATATTTTCCAGCTCTATTTTCCCCAAAGTTCTATCACACGATCAGTCGCTTTATCACCACAGAGCATTTACACGTGTGGCTGTAACACGTTCACAGGTCTGCACCTACCTTACAGCCAACAAGAGGATGTTTTTGTCACAACACCCTGAAAATCTTTCCCCACAACTAGAGGATTCCTACCTCATGAGAAGAGAAGAGCCGGACTCCTTCCATCTGGTGGAAGACAGGGTAGTGGGTGTTATCCACCGTGTCGCGGCGGTAGACGTCTCCCACGGCCAGAAAGGCGTCCAGGCCGGAGTGTATCAGGTCCCACTGGTGAGCTGATGTGTGTGCTCTGAGCATGTGATCCCGATTCAAGTAATAATTATCCTCTTTCCTTCTGCTGGTGTGGTTTTGGGGGATAAGCAAGCTATCAAAATTCTGCTGCACTGTCACCACTGGAGACAGAGAGTCGTAGACGGAGAAGAGCGGAGTCCCGCGGCGCCCCGTGTACTGCTTGTAGAAGTGATCCTTCACCTGCTCCTTGATGAGCCACAAAGGGTGATGCTTTTGGTTGTGCAAGTTCCTCCCCACCTTGGAAAGAATCTTCTCTGTGACGTTGCTGTAGTCATCTTGAGGGTAAGCTTTACCGAGCAGCTCCACAGTATTTGAGCAAGGTGTGCTGGTAGCAACATCTGAAGGCACAGACTTGGATGAAGAATACCTTGAGTAAGTGGGAATCCCTTTTACCTTTGCCTTTGGTGATAAAGCTGTTTTTGAACACTTAGCTACTCTCATGAATTTCCAGAGCATTGCCATTGCAAGTCTTTTCTGACCTACAGAAACAAAAAAAAGCAAAAAAAAGGACAGAGTTAGGAACTGCAATCTCTCTGCAGGAATTGCTAGTGTCTCAGGGGCAAGTGAAATCCACATGTCTACTTGATTAATATGACAAGGTTCCCATTATAAACCACTGCTTTGACTGCAGAGGAGGGAAAATACCCTTGTGATCAGATTTCAGCTGGAGTATCTTACTCAATTATCAGTCTTCTGCATCACTGCATGAGTATTAATGACTCCAGACCTGGCCTTAACCCCGTTCCAGATACTGCTGCTCTGTGCAGCTGAACAAACATCAGGCCTTCTTTGAAACAGGATTTTTTTCATCCTGTACAAGTATGAGGCAAAAGCTGAATATCACTTATGAAAAACTCAAATTTAAACACCACCCTTCAGCAGTCAGGGACTTGCTTATAATGAAACTCGAAGCATTACCTCGTGGTTGTGTCACCCAGCCCAGCAGCAGAAGCTGCAGAAGGGGTCCCAGATCAACCAGATGCACGTGGCATGCACTGTGCAACCATTGCAAATTCTTACTTAATGCCAAACAAAACCAGCTGAAAAACTTTCAAACCACTGTGAAAAAAACAGATGGCCAGAGCAGAAGGCATATATTTATATACAAACAGCATATTAAGTTCAGATATGAGTATTGCCTAACCTTCACAGTAAAGGCTCCACAGCATCAGAATCACTGTTAGCACTCTGGGGTGAGCACCAGGCCCTTTTCCATATGCTCCCAGAATGTTGTTTTTTTGTGGCTCTCACCACTGTGCCTGGCAGGGAGGTTTCCCAACTATCAGGAAGGTAAATGAAACTAGGAGCTACTAAAAGGTGTCTGAACTGAGCCATCATTTCCTACCAAAGGGCCATCATTATACATCCACATTGTTAACAAGAGGCTTTGTGCTCCACGTGCACACAGCTGCACTGCTCTGTGCTGTTCCAAGAGGTACTTCCAAAAACAGTTTTGAGGATCATGAGCCCTTCCTTCAGTCACTCCAAATGCATCAGCACATTGAGATGCAAAATCACTTGGAAAAAATCTATATTGGGCTTTACAAATAGAACCATTTAGTTGGAAAAGACCTTGAATATCATCAAGTCCAGCCATCAACCTAACACTACCAAGTCCACTGCTAGACCATGTCCCTCAGCACTGTATCTGCACAACTTTTCAACGTGTGCACGGATGGGGACTCAACCACTGCCCTGGGCAGCCTGGGAAAGGCCTTGACAAACCTTTCAGGGAAGAAATATTTCTCGACACCCAGTGTAAACCTCCCTGGCACAACTTGAGGCTGTTTCCTTTTGTCCTGTCACTTGTTCCTTGGAAAAAGAGACCAATCCTCACCTCAGTCCTTGCTCTAGAGTATGAGGTCTCCCCTGAGCCTCCTTTGCTCCAGGCTAAACGCCTCCAGGTCCCTCAGCTGCTCCTCAGAAGACTTGTGCTCTACACCCTTCCCCAGGGGCAGTTACATGTGCACACATCCAAACACATCTACATGTATGCACCCACATATGTGCACAGATGTACTCACACGTGTACCTGCATGCACCCACAAGCACACACATGTATACATGCAACTTACACAGGTAAAATATATATAGGTTACATATATAAATATGGAATGTGAAAATTGGAAGGTAAGTGACTGGGGAAAGGCATCTGCTCCAAACCAACTGGTTTCTGTCTTCCTATGAACCAAGATATCCATGGCCACAGGTTTCCTGGGTGAATTAATTTCCCATGAAGGCCTTCTTAAAGAAATGGGATGAGAAAGGACATGAGCAATGAACAGAGCAGTCTTCAAGGGCTAGCTGTCCCTCTCCATGCTATGATTACAGAGTCTGGCCAGCTCTCTGCAGGAATGGAAGAGAAACAAGTATAAAAAAAGCACACACAAGCTAGGGTTATTTTTTCCATACTCTTAAGCTTAAAAAATATATATGCAAATTGAACAGACACATTCAAGAATACAGAGTCCCCAAAAAGAGATCTGTAAAAGAAAACTGGTATGTTCATATTTGGCCTCCTTTCTTCTGGCTTACACTTCCATGTTCTCAATAGATCTATTTCCTGAAGAAATTGTGTCTCAATAAATCAAAATAAAGGCAAGCTGGGTAGTCAGAAATTAGATTTGGCAGGGGAGCATAAAATTACTAAATATTTGGTTTAAACTTCTTTTCTGGTCCAATACCTTAAGAAAAAAAGAGCAGCTAGAGATTTTATCTAGTTGGGAAACTTTTAAGGATGGCCCTTTGTTTTTTAGGAGGTTGCAAAACTATATCACCAAATTTGTTCTTGGCCATTACTGATAAGGTCCTTCCACAAATGAATTCCCACACCCCCCCCCCAAAACAGCTCTGACAGACTAAGTGAGGGATAGCCTTACATTTTGAAAGGAGGCTCCATTTCCCCCAAGCATACGTTCTCCTTCATGGAAAGTGAGTTCTCATTTTCAAACAGCTGCTTTAAATGCCCAGTTCTCTTCAGATAATGAATTCAGCTTCCCTCAAGTAAATATCACCATCTGCCCATACATTTTATTTTTTTTTTTAAATTGATTTAAAACTTAACCATAACTGCAAAGTAAGAAAAACTCTCGTGACTTTATTGTGAGTCTCGTGATGTTTGCTGCTCTCCTAAATACCATTCCTAGGAGAATCAGAACCATGTGAGAAGTTTAAGCTTTCATATAAACAGTTCTTCTCATGATTATAACTTGAAGGAAAAAGAAATTAGAATATGAACCATAAGTGTTGGTGGCAGAGGGGAAGGGACTATTGTGTAAGACTCAGGATCTTTAAGGGAGATTAATGTACACACCTCTAATGCCTTAGCTGATGGTTTTTTAGTATTTTAATTAGTAGATTGCTATCAGTAATGCTAATTTTTCTGAGGAAGTGATATATACTCTTCACAGAACATGTACAGGAGGAAAACCTATGGATGAACTCAGAGTTTTCATCCTACTATTATTCTTGTGCTTTAAGTAGTTCAGCTGCATCATCTTCACCATAGTTTTCACCTAAAACAACACTGACTGTGAGCAGTAATGAGTTACAGTTATCCAATATCATCCAACAACTGCAAACAGCAACCAAGCACTAAAAGGAGCCACTAACATGGTACCACAGGAGCACCAGAAAGTCCCTTCACCAGGACTCTGCTGCTCCCCTCTCCCTCCACAGACTCACGTATGCTACTCCCAGGACCATTACAGGAGAAGGGTATTGGAATTGGACTTAGTTCAACTCAACTGGTGATAAATTATGGTTGGGGAGAGAAGCCAGAGAAGGAAGGAAAAAGCCACGTTTACACTCATTACACTGTACAGGAAACCTTCAAATTAAAGAAATGTTTACGAGGGTGGAAGGCAACACTGGAAAATAAATCTCTTCACCTTTCTGCCAGCAATAACTAACTGATATTAAGGATACACTAAATATTTATGTTCTCTTGTAAGAAATAGACTGTTATTTCTAGAAGGCATCTATCTAAAGGTCTGGAAAAGCACAGTTTAAATTTATCGTTTTCTTTCTTTAGTCCATGCTTATTATTTGGCAGCAAACTGAAACTGGTTTCTGTGTGTGCTGCCACAGAAGCCAGCCAGCAACAACCACGGGAAGCCAACAGCAGCTGCAGGTCCTGGAGCTCAGAACCAGCACCAACAGGGGAAATAAACACTGAACCATCACCACGAGCACACACCACCCCTGGCCCAGGCTGCCCAGAGAGGTGGTTGCTGCCCCATCCCTGGAACCATCCCAGGGGAGGTTGGACCAAGCTCTGAGCACCCTGCTCTAGCTGCAGATGTCCCTGTCCCTGCAGGGGGGTTGGACTGGATGAGTTTTTAAGGGTCCCTTCCAGCCCAAACCATTCTAGGATTCTGTGATCTCCTATTACACAGGTCCTTACCTGATGCTGCCACTGCCACAGCCCCAGGTACCTCAGCAGCTCCTCTGAAGCTCCATGGTCCTGCCCCTGCACCTCAATCTCCATACTGAGGTGTCCAGTACAACTGCAGGATCCCAGATCTTTGGCAGGGATAATACTGTACATTCTGTTTTGGTGATGCATTTGGAACCATGCCCACACATGGGTAGGAGCATTTGAGCAGCTTCAAAAGCCAGACGAGAGGGTAGAAGGTGGCACCCATGCAGAAGAACACATCAACAGGAGCTTAACAACAGGGCAACAGCAGACAATACCAAAAAAGACCATGATTTTGGAGCACACACAGAAGGCAGCGTCTGTGGTGAGGGATCATACCCTTGTGGTGTTCAGACATGTCCTTTCAGGTGTAAAGCCAGGTTGCCAGGTCACAATGCAGCAAGGATCAGGACAATCACAGCTGCAGTGGTATTTGTCCCAAGTCCCCTCTAGTCCACCAAGGTCTAGGCTCCTACCTGTGAACCAAGGGCACCCTCACTGACCACTCTGCTGCACTCCTGGTGCTTCTACTGCTCCTGGCTACAGCAACACAGATGGGCTACTGCATACAGAAACCCCAGCACATGACAGGTTTGGATCCAAAATTCTACAAAGATGAGAGTCTGTCTCCTATCCAAGAATAGCTAATTAATGCAAGACTCTAAAGTGCCATGGAAAATGTTAGAAAAGTTGGGCTGCCACCATTTTGTGATGTGACAGCTTTTATCTACCGTATGTGTGGGGAGGGGAGTTCAACCAACATAGCATATGTTAAAACAAAAATCATAAACATATGCTAGGCTGCTAAAATTGGACATTTACCAGTCTGCTGAGCAATTTAGCTAAGCATTGAATTCTAGTTTTGAAAACTCTGCAGGCATACAGCAGCAAATCTCATTGTGCTGCCATGACCGTCTCCACGCTGCACAGGGTACCCCAGAAATCATCTGGTGTGCAGGACTAATAATGAGCTCAGCTTTTTTTCCTGGCTCCTTTTAAAATGCAGATCTATTACTGCACTCCAGAACAGGCTCTCACTCTTAGTGAGCATGCT